CTATAAATATAACAATAGTGGCTGTCTATTATCAGCAGCAACAGTATTATTTTAAGCACCAGTGGAAATAAAGGCAGTAGTAGTAATAGTTATTTTAATACTAAAGTGTTAATGGGAGGTTTTGAATGCATTTAATATAATCGTTATCAGGTCATAGTACTCTTTAAACTAACATTATGCATTCAGATATTTGTATCAGATAAGAGTAATGTGTCATTTAGTGAGTCATCGTCATGACACGTAAAAGCACTGGTAAACCCTGTAAACATGGCCAGAATATTTTGTTAACAAGGAACAGCTGGATATGCTCTGTGTAGCCACAACATTTATCAACATCCATTTTCCTGGCATTTAGTAACTAAATAGATTACAGCAGCAATAGGCAAGAGCAAGTTTGTGAGTTGCTCAGTAGTGTGTTATCTTTAGCTGCAGGGGTACTTTATCAAGTTGAGCTGAAAGGAGTGGAGGGACCAAAGCAAAACTCTGGATACTGTCGGCAAAAAACAGACCTTAGGAAAGTTCAGAAAAATAGTGCCCGAGAATAGCTACAGTTCTATGAGTAAGATCTGATGAAGCACCACCATGGCACACACAATATAGATTAATACTTTTACTGCCAAATCAGATGGACTCAAGATCTACACATTATTTGGGAACTAGAGTTATAGCTCTCCTTGAACTTGTCAAAGTAAACATAACTGACAAACTGCAGAGTCCATTGGGGGGACATGATTTCACAATGGGTCGATAAATTCCAAATCGTCAATCAATCATAGACCCATATGAAAAGTTTCTTCTGAGCCCTTTATAGCATGGCTGCAGTCAAGGTTTCGTTAAGTAGCATCTAAAATTACTGAAAGAAAACATGTTATATGTAGAAGACAGTTAGGAAACTTTTTATGTTGTTCCTGATATATGCCTGTGAAATTTAAAAATGTGATGGTTTCAGTTATATGGCAGATCACTGTGTTGATTATTGCCCCTGTTGTTAAAAATAGCATTATTACAGAAAATGTTTATGTGAAAATGTATATATAATATCTGCCTTGTGCCTGTTCACCATAG